CCCCCCCCCGCCGCAAAGCCTCCCCTATCCTCCTGCTCTTTGACCCCAGGGCCATCTTTAGACTCTCCTCTCCCACCCCAAATTCTTTCCCCTTCCCCCACCCTAAGGGCCTCTCTAGAACCTTCTCCAGGAACACCACCAAATCCCTACCCCCACCCCAGGCCAGCAGTTCTACACACGGTCCGGGTGCCCCCCTTCCCCGCAACCCCCTGGGGCCTCAGTCCCCTCTCACGCCTCACCAATAGCCACATTGGCCGCCAGGTTGTAGCCATAGTCGAAACGGACGAGGCTCAGGTAGGAGACGTGCGCGGTCAGCAGCAGCAGCAGGAGGGCCCGGAAGGCGCTGGCCACAGCCGGGTGCTGCAGCCCCACGGTCCTGCCCCGCCATCCAGAGCCGCTCAGTTGGAGGGTGGCCCGTGCCCAGAGCAGCATTCCTAAGCGTCCCTTCACCCTGACGTCAGTGTGTGGCAGCCGCGGCCCTCCTCCCCCACCCAAACAGGCCAGCACGGCAGGCCTCCAATTCCACCGGGGGCCTGGGCCCAAGCACTACTGCTCCTCGGAAAGAGCCAGGGCCCCTCGCTCTACGCCGGAGTCCCCATCCAGAACAGCCCGGAGGGGGTGCGCGCGCGCTGGGGTGCAAGGCCCCCGGGGGCAACACCCCCAGGGGTGGGCGAGGCGACCCGCTTCTGCCCCCAGTGCCTGATTTTGCCCCTGCAGGGGCCTAGATGGGCTCACCTGACACAGCACAGATAGATGGAGTGCAGGATGACGGTGGAGGCACAGAAGTAATCCATTTTCTGAGGACAGGGAGAGCTGGATGAGGGGCCAGCATGAAGGGAGGGGGAGACGGGCAGGGCCCCGAGAGGACCCACCCGGGACGGGGCAGGGCAGGGCGGCCTGGGAGTCCGAGGCCTCTCGAGGGGGGCGGGGGGGTGGTGTCTGTCTTGTGCTCCCTTCTGCCTATCGCTGTTTCACTCCTGAATGGAACGGTCTGACCCTTGTATTCACATTATACAACTTTCTAAAATGTATTCAGCAGCAAGGCTTTGGGGGCACGGGTGGAGACGCCTGCCAGGACTCCAGAACACCGCAGAATGCGGGGCGCAGTCTCGAGTCCCGCGGCTGTGGGCCCAAGTCCAGGTGGCGCTCTTACTGGCTGGGTGACCCTGGGCAAGCGATTCAGCCTTTCCGAGGTTCGGGGGCGTCGTCAGTTAAGGGCCAATCATCACACCTACCTCACAAGGGTCAAGTGAGGCTCAGGTGCACGAACAGGTTAAAAATGCCGAGCACATGGGGTGTCTGGGTGGCTCAGTTGGTTAAGCGACTGCCTTCGGCTCAGGTCATGATCCTCGAGTCCCGGGATCGAGTCCCGCATCCGGCTCCCTGCTCGGCAGGAGTCTGCTTCTCCCTCTGACCTTCCCCCCTCTCATGCTCTCTCTCTATCTCATTGTCTCTCAAATGAATAAATAAAATCTTTAAAAAAAATAAAAAAATAAAAAAATAAAAAAAATGCCGAGCACAGAGCAAGGGCTCTGTAAGTGGAGTCCCTCCGAAACTAAGAGCCGGCCCCCACCCCTTCTGGGCTCCTCTGGGACGGTCCCACACAGGAGCGTGAGCCGGAGGGGGGCTCACCTCTGTGAGGTCGGTGTCCTTGGTGTGGAAGACTGTGGACCAGAACCAAGCATTGAGGGAGACCTGCAGGGAGGCGCTAGTCAGCGTGGCGTCCCGAGGTGGGGAGCAGCACTCACAGGGGTGGCACTCTGGGGAAGGGGCTCTGTGGAACAGAGAAACATGCTCCCCCTTGCCCCCGGAACCAGCCCGTGCCCTCAGCTGGCCGCAACCCTGAGCCCCCTAGGCCACGGGCACTGCGGCCTCCACAGGTTCCGGCCTGGCCTGGGAACCAGTTCCGGCAGAGCCAAGTTCCCTGCTTTCTCAATCGCTAAGACAACAGCCCCCAGGGGGCCTCGCCTCCTCCCCCAACCAGCAGGTGATGACAGCCCCGCCCGGGCCAGGGGAGCCAGTGACCTCAGCCTCTGGGGGCGGGAATGAAGTGGGTGGGGTGGAGGGGCTCGCGCCAGCTTGGGGTGTGTCCTGAGCAAAGCAAGCAAGGGAGGGAGATCAAGCCGATCCCACTGGGGCCAAGTCTCTAAGGAGGAGGCTGGCCCACGGAGCCTCCCCCTGGGTGGGCCGGCCCAACCCGCCAGACCGGCATCTGCTGCTTCCCCAAGCTCTGGGAGGAGCCGAAGGCTGAAGGGGCTGTGGTGGACAACGGCCCAGGAGCACGTTTGGGGCCTTTTCCCTGGAAATGAACTGCAAGGAGACAGTACAAAACATCTTGCAAATGAGTCCTAGATCTTGTGGGAGTTGGTGCTGTGTATCCATGGCCGAGGCCCAGATCACTGAAAGAAGGGTGGGCTGCGGGGAGAGGTTCCTACACTGGGCTGGGAAACCAGAGACAATGAGTCAAAGGGCAAAACAGGCAGCCAGAAGTCTGGCCTGGGATGCACTGGAGATAGGGAGGGATGCCCGGGGAGGGAGGCGGGGGGACAAGCCTGCCTGAGACCGGTAAAGGCCAGGAGCTGCTCATTTGGGTCCAGGACAGCAGGAAAACTGGCCAGGAGCCGGACAGAGGAAGCAGGGAAGAAGCCTCTCTGTCCAGTCCTGCGGCAGGAAGGTCAGACGACAGGACAGGTCCCCTACTGCAGGCCCAAAAGGGCTTATGAGAGCATGGGAAAGCAAAGGGGTAAAGGCAGGCCAGGCTTGGTGCAAAGGCAGTCAGCATTAGAAGTCTCTGGAGGCTCAGGTAGCCCCATGCGAGCCTGTCTGGCCTGGGTCCTAGGCTGAGTCTCTCAGCTTCTGCTCCTCACGACCCGCACAAAGGCCCTGCCCTCTGGGCCTGAGCTTCCCCCTGTGACCGATCGGGGCCTAGCCTAAGTGATCCTTCCTCCCTCTCCAGCCCTGACATCAGGTGATTATTCTAGGCCAGGTTGCTTCTCTTCTGAAGACGGCCATCCAGTCCCATCCCTGGTGCTGCCCCTTCCCCCGAGATGGTATATGAGGCATGGTCTGGGGGCTGGAGGATGGGACAGAACGGGGCGGCTTCTCAGACACTGCTCCCACAAAGTTTGGGACGCTCAGGGTCAGCGTGGGGAGAGGAGCAGACTTGGGGCTGGAGGCAGGGCCCCTGAGATCACATGGGCCAGGTCTCCGGGGCAGGCCAGGAATAGGGACACCCTCAGGGAGGAGAATGGCCCTGGAGCCAGTAGGAGAGGGAGGTGGAGGGGAAGGCAGCAGGGACTGGCAGCCAACCAGGCCTCCTTGACACCCACAGCAGGAAGGGAGAGGTGACAAGAGGACTGGGCTGGGGGGTGGCTCGGGGGGGGGGGGGCAGCATGGGCCCCCCGCCTCTGGAGGGAAGAGGAGGGCAGTACTGTGGAGGTGGGGACGGAGCCAGACACGTCCCACACTCTCTCACACCGTTGCAGAGCCGGCGGGAGGTCAGAGCAAGTGGGGGCCCTGTTCCGGGAGCCTCCTACTTTCCTGACTGGTCCAGCTGGACATGATTGGTCAGAGAAAAATGCCCCACCCCCCAGCCAGGCCTCTGTGAGGGAAGCTCAGTGGAAGGTCTCCTGCCCAGGAACTGGGGGGAGGTAGGAGAGGCCCGGTAGCATCCGAGGCAGGCCTTGACTGTCCTTGGGGGTCCCACAGCCGGCCTGGGGGTGGGGCCTGGGCTTCTGGGTCACTGAGGCCCCTCTGGGATCTCTGTCTCTCTGGCTCCACTCCAGCTGTCCCCTCTTGCCCCAGCACACTCACCAGGGGCAGCACAGGGTCAGATCGCGGGCAAGGGCCGGAGCATTGCAGGGGCTACCGCCATCCCTGCCCTCCTCCCTCCCTCCCTGCCTGCAGGCTTCCGAGGGGGCAGCTTGCATCGAGCCAAGCGGGGGGGGGGGGGGGTCCTATCTTGGTCCTGGCTTAGGTGTGTGACCCTGGGCAGATCTACCTCTCTGGGCCTCCATTTCCTACTTTGTCGAAATGAGACTCATTATGTCGTAGGGCTGTCCTAAGATTAAAACGAGAATCAGGGCTAGTGCTTCAGTAATCAAGAGGATGCAGTTCTGCCCTAGGTGAGCACCCACGGGCCTTCCCACCCACTGGGTGCTCTGCTGTTCCTGCAAGGTCCTCATCTCAGCTCCCGTACGGCCTCTTCCGCACCCTTTGCTGTGTCCACTCAGTGATGTCCCCCTCCCCCCCCCATGCCCAGCGCCCTGTGTGCCAGCTTCCTGCTTCATGAGTTGCTCCACTTGGGTGCTGGGCTTTCCCAGCAGCTGTCCTGCTCCCCTGCTCCCCTTCAGTGAGAGCCAGCCCCTCCCAGGTGGCACAGTGGAGCTGCTCAGACTGTTGTGACCAGAAAAGGGGGCCCAGAGAGGGGCAGAGGTTGCCCCGTGGCTGATGTGGGGGTCAGCCAGATCTGACTCTGCCATTCATCAGAGCCCCTAGATTCGCATCGCACCTGCCTTGGGGTATTGCTGGGGATAGAGCTGGGGAGGGGGGAGGGGAGCCGCCTCCCACACCTGCTCTTTCCACCCTGACTGGCCTGACTTGGGAATCCACTTCTCTGACCACTGGCCACTGGAAAGGAGAATGTCTGGCAAAGGCTTATGCCCAGGGTCCCAGGTGTGGAGCTAACCAAGTCATTTCCGGCTGGTGCGGTGGTGGCCGTCGTGGACCGGGTCTCGGTGCAGATCCCAGGCAGAGGAGAGCCGTGGGAGCTGGACCCGATGGCCTGGTGCAGAGCCCCGAGTGGGCCTCGACCCCTGCCGCTGCCTGTTCTGCTTACAGACAGGCCGCTGTCCTCCCTGGGCGGGAGGGGAGGGGTGGGGCAGAGAGCAAATGCCAAGGTGGCACGAGGCTGGGCATGTGCCTGGTCTCAGTGTCTAAGGAGTGTCACACACCTGGAGGTGTCACTCTGAGGACCTCTGCTCCCACTGGAGCATCTTAATCTCTTTAGAAGCTGACCGCTGACCGCAGGCGGCGGCTGGAGACCAGGGACCCCCACCCCCGCCCTGGGCCCAGAGTCCCCCATTGGTGAGCCTTGGCTCTGCTTATAGCATCTGACGCCAGAGGGGCTGAAAATAGCCCCTGGAGGAGGTGGAGGAGGGGGCTATTTAAAGGGCATGGGAGGAGCAGAGCTGAGCGAGTGAGCACTGATCATGGCCACAGCAGAGCTGAGCTGCCAGGTGTCCGAGGAAGACCGAGAGCGGCGAGAAGCCTTCTGGGCCGAATGGAAGGATCTAACACTGTCCACGCGGCCTGAGGAGGGGTGAGTGCCAGGCAGCTGGGAGTCCCTCTGCCCTAGAACACCTCTCCTGAGCCTCACGAGGCCAGAGCACAAAGCCCTGCAGAAGTTTCTGGGGGTAGGGACAAGGAGGGGGCCCGGGGGGGGGAGAGTGGAGTCACCGCTTCTGCATCCCAGGTCCTGGGGAGCCCCCTGCCCAGCTCATGACCGGAGGGTAGCAGATTTCAGGAGCTCAGTGTTCCCCTGCCCTCTCCTCCCCAGTTGCTCTCTGCACGAGGAGGATGCCCAGCGGCACGAGACCTACCACCGGCAGGGCCAGTGCCAGGCGCTGGTGCAGCGCTCCCCCTGGTTGGTGATGCGTATGGGCATCCTCGGCTGTGGGCTCCAGGAGTACCTGCTGCCCTACCAGCGGGTGCTACCACTGCCCATCTTCACCCCTGCCAAGATGGGTGCCACCAAGGAGGAGCGCGAGGACACCCCCATCCAGCTGCAGGAGCTGCTGGCCCTGGAGACAGCCCTGGGTGGCCAGTGTATGGAGCGCCAGGACATGGCCGAGATCACCAAGCAGCTGCCCCCGGTGGTGCCTGTCAGCAAGCCCGGTGCCCTGCGTCGCTCCCTGTCCCGCTCCATGTCCCAGGAAGCACAGCGAGGCTGAGGGGGCGGTGACTCGGGCTCTACCGTGCCTGCCGTGGGCTGGGCCCTTCCTGGCTAGGACCATGGAGGGGAGCTGCTGGCCATGGATGCTTTGTAGTTTGCCCAGAGTTGGGGGCTAGGGGAGGAGGGAGCCAGAGGCCAGGATGCCTGGGTCCCCTGAGTTCCCAAAGGGAGGGAAGCAAAGACAGTGGGCACTAAGGATAGAGAGCTGGGGGCCAGCACAGCCAAGCACCCCCAGCCCCAGGAGAAGGGACAAAAGATGCTGGTGAGGACAGAGGTCCCTGAGGGGAGTGACCCTGGTCCAGTCTCCAGTTTCAGAGAAAGATGAGGAAAAGGGGATCTGGAATGCTCTAGGAAGGAGGCTTGAAGGAGACCAGAGTGAGGGGGACGTGAAGAGGGCAGAGGCAGAGTGGAGCCCCCAGCATCCTCTGTTAGCGCTGCAATAAATGCTCAATCGTGTTCCAGACTTTTCTTGTTCCAGTCTCTTTCCTTGTGGGGGCTGGCCCATTGGTGTCCGTCCCCCCCCAGTGCTCACTTCTGGGAATAGGCCTTGCACCTGAGCTAAATATGGCAGAGCCAGTGGGTACACTCCATGCTTGGTCGTGGGGGCGGGGGAGACAGGGACAGAGCTGTAAACAGGGTATCTGTCCAGTCTGCCTTCCATGCCCTGGCTCTGCTGTGCAGTGCTTGGCCTCTGTGTCCAGTCCCCTGGCACTGGGTAGTGCCCAGCAGGCGAGCTGGCATCCAGGGTTTAAATGATCTCATGGAGCAGAGGGAGGGGGCTGGCACCAGGACTGTCCTTGGCTGTACCTAAGGTTGTGAATGGGGTCACTGATCCCAAGGCTGACCTACCTCTCAGTTCTGAATCCAGACAGAATCAATCCTTGGCTGGGGTCAGGCACTCTGCCCTCCCTGACCAGGGGGCGCAGGGTGGGTTGTGGGCAGTGGAGGGTCAGGTTCTTGTCTGTGACCCTGCAGCTTCGTGACTCCTGTCCCAACCTGGTTGCCTGGCCCAACAAGGAGACACGTTGCCCTTGGGACGAGGTGGGGGCACAGAGGAGGCTGGAGGCCCATCTGGACAGGGGCTGGTAGCCTACCTAGGGCAGAAGGACAATGGACTGGCCCAGAGGGGTCCAACTCCGGGAAGACCACCGGAGATGGCCGCATGGAATCCACTTCCCATCTGGGGGGATAGGAGGGAAGACCCTGGCATCTTGACCTGGAGTGCCAAGCAGGACCTGCAGGCCTGGCCTGGCCCGCTCCCCAAGAGAGGGGAATGTAGTGTGGACTGGGGGAGGAGAGGGGTCAGAGAGGCCAGACTGGCGCAACCTCAAATCCCTTGGCGGGGAAGGCCCAGCCCGCGCCCTCTGGGGCCCCGGGGGGCCGCCTGGAGAACGCCTGCGCCCTCCCGCCCTCCCCACGGTCCCGCGCCCCCGACATGGCCATGGCCGGAACGTCCCGAGCCTTCTGCTCTCGGAAGCCCCCAGATAAGCGGCTCGGAGCCCGCAGGGCCCGCGCCCTGCTGTTCGGCTGGCTAAGTGCATTAGCCCCGCTCGCATCCCCTATCGCGGCTGCCATCGGACGGGCGGGGCCGGAGCTGCGCTCTGGGGCCCCCGGGCGACCGTGGCGGAGGCCAGAACGGACTGTCCTTTCCGGGGTGGGGGTGGAGGGCGCTGGGGGACGGGGGTTGGTAGGAAAGGACGGAAGAGGGCTGGAGAAGGGGCCGGGGGGGGGGCAGCTGGGGTGACCTGAGTGTGACCCCGGGACGGGGTGTCTCAGGAAGGAGAAGTCGGCGGGGGCTGGGCCCGGGGTCGGGGACGAGGGCGCTGGGAGGTGGGCACTGGGAGAGGGCTGATTCGAACCCTGGCCAGAGAGAAGGGATGGGGTGCCGGGCGAAGCGGGTGAATGGCTGGGGAGCCGGAGGAGAGCGGCGGGAGGAGCTGGGGACGGGCGGGGCAGGGATCTAAGGGTCCTGGGGGCACGAAGCTGGCTCGGACCAGGCCCGGTGAGGCAAAGGCTGGACGGCTGCGGGAGCAGCTGCGGAGCGGAGGGGGGGCGCCCCCCACGCGCCCCGCGTGTCTGCTGCTCGGACACTAAGGGAGATGGATGGGCTGGGGGAGATGCAGCGCGGAGCCCCGGGCGGCTCCAGGCGCAGCCGCCGCCCCCGCAGCGGAGGGTCGGGCGGGGAGTCGGGCGGCAGATAAAGGGGCCGCGAGGCGAGAGGATAGCGCGGGCGACGGCGACGGCATGAGCGCGGCAGACCCGAGTCCCGCTGCGGGCGCGGCCCCCGACTCGGACCCGGGCTGGGCGGCCGTGGCCTCCGCCTACCGGCGCTTCGAGCCCCGCGCCTACCTCCGCAACAACTACGCGCCCCCTCGGGGGGACCTGAGCAGCCCGGACGGCGTGGGGCCTTGGAAGCTGCGCTGCTTGGCGCAGACCTTCGCCACCGGTGAGCGCGGGGAAACTGAGGCCCGGAGGACAAGAAGTCATCAGAGAGCTAAATGGGCATGCGTGCGCGAGCCCCATGGGGACCAAGAAGCAGAGATAGGTAGTTAAGAGGTGAAAATAGAAGAGGAAGAGAAGCAATATCCCTTAGGTAGGGGGCAGAGGAGAGAGACCTGTGGAGAGGGCATTGGGAGATGAGGTGGGGGATGCAGGAAAGAGGCCCCGAAGACCCCCAAGACAGAGGGAGATCGGGAGGAAAGAGAGGCACGAGGCAGGAACTGCCAGGCACCTCCGGGTTTCCCCACCTAAGCCTCAGCGAAGGGACGGTCCTACAGATGTGGAAGCTGAATCTCAGAGGGGTTAAGTCCCTTTCCCAAGGCCGGTCAGTCCACGTTGGGGCCAGGACTCAGACCCAGGTTAGCTGATGCTTTTTCCAGAGAGAGGCACACTTACAGAGGGAGAAGCGAGAGAGGCTGGGAGAAGCAGGTGAGGGAGGGAGGGACTGAGGCGGGGGTGCCCGGACAGCTGGCACAGGACCCTCCTGCTCTGCCCCCACCCCCCAGGTGAGGTGTCGGGACACAGCCTCATCGACATTGGTTCGGGCCCCACCATATACCAGCTGCTCAGCGCCTGCACCCACTTTGAGGACATCACCCTGACGGATTTTCTGGAGGTGAACCGCCAGGAGCTGGGGCTCTGGCTGAGGGAGGAGCCCGGGGCCTTCAACTGGAGCACGTATAGCCAGCACGTGTGCCTCATCGAGGGCAAGGGGTAAGGGGGCTGCCCAAGGAGTGGCGGGTGGGGGGCAACAGAGCACTGAGCGTGGGCTGGCCCTGAGCCCTGGTCCTGCCCCTGCACAGTGAGTCCTGGCAGGAGAAGGAGCGCCAGCTGCGAGCCAAGGTGAAGCGGGTCTTGCCCATCGATGTGCACCAGCCCCAGCCCCTGGGCGCTGGGAGCCCGGCGCCCCTGCCTGCCGACGCCCTGGTCTCTACCTTCTGCCTGGAGGCCGTAAGCCCGGACCTTCCCAGCTTCCAGAGGGCCCTGGACCACATCACCACCCTGCTGAGGCCTGGGGGGCACCTCGTCCTCATCGGGGCCCTGGAGGAGTCATGGTACCTGGCTGGGGAGGCCAGGCTGGTGGTGGTGCCCGTGTGTAAGGAGGACGTGATGGAGGCCTTGGTTCGCAGCGGCTATGAGGTGCGGGACCTGCGCACCTACGTCATGCCTGCCTGCCTTCAGACAGGTGTAGATGATGTCAAGGGCATCTTCTTCGCCTGGGCCCAGAAGAAGGCGGGGGTGTGATGGCCCAGTGCACCCAGTGCTGGTGGCTCACGTACACCCAGATTCCCTGTTATGTGAGGTGGCACCTAATAAAGAAATAAGTTCCTCCTGCTGAGCGTCAGCTTTGTCTGTGGCTCTCCTGGGAAACAAGGAGCTCTCTCTGGGGTTGCGGGGGTGTGGAAGCCACCAACCCTAGCCTTTTTTTCCAGAAGCTTCCATGACGGTAGGTTTCTTTACCACTCTTTCTTCCCAAACTAAGGAAGGTCAAGGCCAGAGGGAGCTCGTTCAGCATCTGCTGTGTGCCAGGCCCCTATTAGGCCCACTCAGTCCTCACACTCAGCAGGTCCTGTTGTCCTGTTTGCAGGTGAAGCTAAGAAGGGTAAGTAACAAACAGGAGTAGAGGGGCGCCTGGGTGGCTCCGTCGTTAAGCGTCTGCCTTCGGCTCAGGTCATGATCCCGGGGTCCTGGGATGGAGCCCCGCATCGGGCTCCCTGCTCGGCGGAGAGCCTGCTTCTCCCTCTCCCACTCCCCCTGCTTGTGTTCCCTCTCTCACTGTCTCTCTCTCTCTGTCAAATAAGTAAATGAAATCTTTAAAAAAAAAAAAAAAAAGCAGGAGTAGAGCCTAGTTTAGACCCGAAGGGGAGGAGAGGAATATAAGCAGGAGACTGAAGTGGAGAGTGCACGGGGAAGGAGTTACAATCCGGGCACCAGTTCCCTCCCCCCGAGGCCCCCCCCTGCTGCTCTGCATCTGCTCCCTGCCCAGGCACAGACCCCAGCTGCCCACTGCCTCCAGCCAGCCGTCTTCTCCTTCCCTCCGGCCCACTCTACTCACACAGATGAGCTGAACAAGGGTAGGTGAGGCTGAGAATTGGTTTATTAGGAATGTCCCTTGCTATCCTCCTACCTTAAAATAGTTCTCAATATCAAAAGAAACATGGGCCACCCAAGTCTGAGGTTGGAGTCCTAGCATAGCACCTCTACACCGCAGAGAGGGACAAGGGGGCAGGGAAAGAATAAGAATCCAGGCTCCCTGCTCCAATCGCAGAGACTGCCTTTGGATGGAAAGTTTCTGGAGCCCCACATTCTATCCTTGTGGAGCAGGAATGTGTTCGGGGTGCTGGCTGCTAGCAGGGGTCACCTTTACCGGGGTGCAGATACCGGGGTGCAGATACACCTTTACCGGGGTGCACCCCGGGGTGCCTCCGGGAAGGCCAGAAACCAGACCCAGCCACAGGCCTTCTCCCCCTACTCCCTCAGATTGCCCCCCCTTCCCAAGGTCCAGGCTGTGACAAAGGGGCTTAGCAGGTAGGGCACTGGGGGAGGGGAAGGCCAACGAAGCCTAGGCAACAGGAAGGCTGGAGAGGCCCCCAAGATCCCTGTGGCCCTTCCTCCCTTTGTCTCCCTAAAGGCTGGTTCTGGAGGGTGATCTGAGTTGTGCGTGGGTCCGCTGAGATTTGGAGGTGGACTGTAACGTGGGGGCCACGGACAGGGACACCCACATGCAGCCTGGACACCCGTACCCCGCCGAGCCAGACCTTGAGGACATCCGGGCCCCCTGCCTGGCCTGGGGCCCTGGAGCTGGTGCTTGATAGATAGTTGTTGGTGGTAACCTGATCCCCCATTTTTCTCCACCCTCCCCACACTGCGTGGTACACTCACGGCACTCACACTCACCTCACACCCAGTCTATGCATACTGCCCTGACCCACGCTCCCCCACTTGTCCCGCAACACACACACTTTCAAACCACTCCCGTCCCACCCCACTCTCCACACAGGCTCATACACTGTCCCACCCAGCATCCCATGCGCTCAGTCCAATGCCCGATGCTCTCAGTCTCGTTCTCGCTCCCTTACACACTCACGTGCAGGCTCCTGACCAGAGGACTCCTGTCCTGGGCTCTCTGGGGAGTGAGACAGTGGGGGTCTCCTGGGGGCCGGGCTGAGACAACAGTCCGGGTGAGACCACTGCCCAATCCCAGCAGCTTGGTCCCTCAAGATCCCAAGGGGAGGAGACCTGCCTTGGAACTTGGGCAGCCAAAGAGCAAGAGTCTAGTGCCACCTAGTGGTGCCCTGAAGGAGGGCAGGGGGTAACGGAAGGGGCCCCACTGTGCCCCCAAAGGCCCGTGGAACCTGGTCTCCCAGCTAGACAGACAGCTGTGGGCACCACCCAGGCGGTGAGGGGATGTGGGGAAGAGGCTGATGGAGCGGCAGAGGCAGCTCTCCTCTCGGTGGAGCTAAGGACACAGTTCCACGCCGGTTCGCCAGGAACCATTCTCCAACCCCAGATGCTGACAGGCCAAGCCTGAACAGACTCCGAGACCTGTGAGGGCCGTGTGCGGGCGAGCAAGGGGATGGGCAGTTACGTGATTCTGGGCCCATACCCTTCATGTCCAAGTTCAAGATGTTAAAAGGGAAAAATCATCTCAAGGATTATGGGGAGAAGGGGAGCCAGCAGGGAGAGGGCAGGCTCCCCAGTGGGGCAGACCGCTCCCAGGGCCTTCAGTCCAGCTTGAACTTGGCCTCTGATTCCTTCAGCAGATACAGGCTGTCATCTTCCAGAAAGCTGTGGGCAGAGGAGGAGCCCACTGAGTCTGGCTTTGAAAGCACCCCGTGGGGGTGAGCACGGGCAAGCCAGCAGGGGGCAAGGCCTCGGTCTCCTCCAAGGAGCAGGTGAGGATGGGCACAAAGAAGGTGCCCACTGGGCGGGGAGAAGCACCCACCTGAAGAAGAGGACATGGACGGGGATGGTGCTGATGTGCCAGATGGCATGGGCATCCAGGACCCAGAAGAGGGGCGGGAAGTCGAGCAGCTCAAGCAGGGACAGGCCCTGTAGCAGCAGGACCACTACCACGCACTTGCGCACGTGTGGCAGCCTCCGCCGGTTCCGCAGGCACCAGGCCAGCCACCACACCACGTTCACCAGGCCTGCGTGCGGGGCGGTGG